AAACTGTGGTGGCCCTACCATCTCGACAGCCTTCAACATCTCGGGTGAACAAGCGTGCCCAGACTAGCCAAACCGAACAGCGCCTTGTGGACGAAGATGAGACCATTCTTCCGCCACCAAGCCTTCCACCGAGCCCTCAGCCGGAGCGGTCCGACCAATCTAGCTCTTCCAAGTGGGCACCCAAGCTCACTTTCCAGAACCGAGATATCCAGGACACCGACTCGGTGGTCGCAGAGAAGGATCACGTACTGGCCTTCAATCTGGCCAAGAGTGTGTGTCTTCCAAAAGACATGGAGCACCACCACAATCAACTGAACACCGAACTGAATTCCATCCAGTTTTCAACGAAATCAATGATTCTGGTAAGTAGGTTTTTTCGATCTTTCTAATTCTTTCAAGTTTTAGCTCGGTTAAAAAGAAACAATTCTTTTTGCAGGCCATTCAGAAAAACAATATCACTCACAGGCGAGTGTTGGAGCTAAGGAAAACAACTAGGCAAGCCATGGCGGAAGCCGAAGCCAAGACTGCCGAACTAAATCAATCCCAACAGAGGACGGCCGGGCTGGAGGCCGAGATAACTCGTCTAACCGGACTAGTTACCTCGGCTAATACCGACAAACAAAGAGCGCTAACCGAGATGAAAGACAAGTATTTGCGGGAACTGGCGAAACTTGAGGGTGTTAAGGACGCCGAAATAAACATTTTGAAGAAGAAAGCTGAAGATGCCGAGCTGAAGGGCTTCAAGGAAGGCGAAGCGCATACATCCAGCAGTGTGAAGCTGCGAAGGACTTGTTCTTCAAGTGCGGCTGGAGGGGTGCCGTGGAGCAGCTCGGTTGCGGTCCCGACACCGAGGTCTAAAATGCTCCTCTGTATTTTATTCCGGCCTCACTAGCGGAGTATGCAGCCGATCTTCAGAAGCAATTCCTTGAAGCGTCTGACGACGACGATGAAGAGAATGAGTCAACTGACACTCCGATTGACAATGTTCCAGCTAACCAATCAGTTCGGGCGGAGCCTGCGGTAGAAGATCTGACCATTAAGCAACCTGCTGAAACCGAGCTCCAAGCCGAGACCGAGCTCCCAACTCAGACTGTAATTCCGTCTGAAACCGGACTTCAGGTTGATGCCGAGCTGGATGTCGAAATAGATGACCTTTTTAGCTGATTTTGTATTTTTTCTTTTTCTTGTTTTTGCTTCGACTTGTAACCGGGCTGGGAGCCCCTCCCTTCTAATCGCTTTGAACTTGATTAATGAGAATCATCTTCTTTTGCACTAACTGTTATTCCGGTTTAAATACTTTATTCTGGTCCTAGCTTATCTTAGTCTGCTATAGTCTTGGGGCTGGCTGTGTTCTCCCTTCAATATACTGGTCCAGGTGACCAGTGGCCACTAACTCCTCCAAATGTTGCCTCAATGGTGTGTAATTTTCAGTTTGGTGCCCCTTCTCATCATGGAAGGTGCAACGATACCTCTCATCGTAGCCTCTTTGTGCTTCTCCCAACTTGGTTGGCCGCCGAACGAAGGGTTCATCGTGTATCTCGCTAAGAATCCGGTAGATAGGTTTGTTAAATACTGTGGTAATAGCAGTGCGGACTCTCAACTTCCTTGTTTGGGGGTCCTGTTTGTTGGCTCATCTGCCTCACCCACTCTTGCTCGATTGTTCTACCGTTCTTGCTCGGTTGTTCTACTGTGTTGACTCTCGCTATAGTCTTTTTATTTGGCACCACTGTTGTGCCAAATTTTGCTTTAATGCGGGTGCTATTTTCCTCTACCCAGATATGTTGATGTACTCTTTCCATTAGGGCCTCCATTGTGAGGAGTGGCATCATCGTCATTGAATCCCTCAACTTGTTGCCTGCCGGCAAGTCCCATTTGTATTGTGCGATAGCAAGGTTTGTGGGGCAATCTCCAATCTGATTAAAAGTCTCCCAATACCGATTGTTGTAAGACTTTAATGTTTCCTTCTTGCCTATGTCTATGGAGAGCAGCTGATCAATCTTCATTGGCGTCTTGGTGTTTATTCTAAACTTAGTCACAAATGCCTTCGCAAGTTGCGCCCACGAAGCTATGCTGCCTTCTGGCAACCTCTCAAACCATGCCAAACTGAGGTCACCTAGACTAGAAGGAAACAGGATACACATTAGTCCCTCGTTTTGTCGACATACGGCCATAACCTGGCGAAAGTGCATATAGGGGTCTGCCTTCCCCTCATAAGTTGTGAATTTAGGCTGATGGAAGCCTAAGGGGTAATGGTGTGTTCTCTATTGCCGGAACGAACAGCGAGCTCTGCAACCTTGCTAACACTTTGTTTGTTGGTTCGTAAGCAAGGTGTGGCACTGGCATCCTAACCTCAATGCTCTCATATGTCCTAGGAGCCAACCATTGTAGAGCTAAGACCCTATGGTGGTCACGAGCCTGTGTGTCCTCCCTTCTTCGGACCCTTTCCTCTAGTACTGTTCGCAAGTCTGCCGACCTAGGCAACTTTGTATGTCTAGATATTGTTTGGTGCGAATGCGAGGGCCGCTACCTGTTTCCCTCTATACAAGACCTTTTAGTCCTCGTTCTCTCAGACCTGGAGAAACGAGTCCTGGAAGTCCTTGACTGTGTGTCGCCTGTCCTAAGGCTTCTACTTTCAGCTTGTGATGGTGTGAGTTGCCTGTCACGATCTTCTAAGTGGCAAGAGTGCGTGTTGCCTTTGCGTCTCTCTTCTTCTGCAACCCTTTTGCCTTTTATCTGGCGCTTCATCGTCTCCATCTCTGCCGCTATCCTCCATATCAATTCGTCTTGCTCCCTTGCGTGATCTTCCAGAACCTAAGGATCCATCCTCCGCCTCTGTCTTTCAGGGCTTTGAGAGCGACAAGGACTTGAGCCCAGTCTCTCTCGTGTGTCCCTCCGTGGGTTCTGTCGCTGGGGATCAAATTCTACCATGGACGGGACAAAAGGTAAACCTTTGCACCTCCCGCCCCTTTCTGGGGTTTGCCCATTAATAGCAAAATGTGGCAAATCTACATTGTGCGCCATTGAATTTAATTGAAGAGGAAACTCAATAAAAAGGTTTGTTCTCTCTATGTTTTCCTATAGACAGCGCCAATTGTACGAGCACGAAATAATCTTCTCGTATAATCTTGTTAATCAAGTTTGCACTCCTCCAAACGCCGTTGCTTTACTACCTGAAAACACAAACGTGAGCTAGCCGGTGGGTGTGTGCCGGAAACCTCTCCGATGCCTAAGTCAACAAAATAAACAATAAACACAAAAGCTCTGTGTATTTGAGAGTAAGAATTGTGATACCTCTATATAGGTCCCGTCATGAGCTTGTATAGATTCTACCTGGCGCAATCCTAATAGGACTCCAACTCATTTCTAAGAGTCCTCCTAGAAATCACACTCCCCAGGATAATGCCTATCTTGATAACACCTTACTCACTACCTACCAAGTGAGATGGAGGCAATTCCCACTTCAGCTGGTAGTACATTCAACCGAGCTTACACAACTCGGTGCTGCTTTAGGTGACATCGTTATAGTCTTAACAGTAAGATGGCGCATGCAGTCATAGTCTTTAGCTCGGCTCTTCATCACTGACACCTCGGTCCTCTAAGTGGCTCGGTCTTCTGATTGCTAGGTCAAAACCCCAGCAGCCCATCTATGACCAATCTGATGCCCTGATGACCCAAACCGAGCTATCCGAACTTACTTCAACCCATAGTTTAGCCTAACGTCTAAGATAGACTAATCTTAGCTCGGCCCAAACTATATGCATAAATTACCCTCTCAATTAGTATGGTGGTATTAGATTAAAGATATAAGATAAAGAGTGTTTATTTGTATATCACCAGATTAATAATACTATAAATAGTATTAATATATCAAATTAATATTTTTTAATATTATAATCTTTTTTTTTTGGTACGAAAAAATATAATTTTTTGGTTAAAAATCATTAAAAATTCATTAATCCCCTTACTCAATTTTTAATTCCAACTCTCCCATAGCTTTGTTCGTCCTACCTTATGGGGAGATTACTAGTTCAAAGAGATATTTAATCCCCCCACTCATGTCCCTAACCAAATACTCTTTAGGTGGGTCTCACATAATATTAATTCAATTTCCCTTTTCAAAGAGTCAAACAAATATGACCTATGTATATATAGAAGAGAAAATAAATAAAACGTATCGCTACTACTTTCAACTGTGGCTATCTCTGCCAAGCTCCTTAGCCTATGTTTGGGAAGTTGGGTTTGAGGATTTTTTGACTAAAATAGCCACAAAAAACAAAATAAGTTTTTTAGTCCAATAAGACAAAATATCACATCCAACCCATAATCATTATATTCTTTCTCTCACAAAAAAGCCAAAAAAGCTAAAAGTCCTTCCCAAATCAAGCTTCTTAACCCCTGGCTAAAATAGCTCCAAAAATTAAAAAGCTAAAAAGTCAACCCACTTCTTAAACGAAGCCAGTAAAAATTTTCATTAACTAAAATGTGATTTTATTATTTTTATAAAATGAAAATAAAACAATCCTTTCCCTGTTAATCCTGTGAAATTGGATTAGTAATTCCACCACAATGAGAATGGAAATTCCATCCTTGGTTGGTATTCATTGATCATGGGACTCCTAGGTAGGGCTGGGCATAGGGTCATCCGACCCGCCCAAACCGCCCTACCCGAACCGAACTGCACGCATGTGGGCGGTTTCGCAAACACATTAGGGTAGGGTGCGGTTTGGATTTTATATGAATTTCGGGTTGCGGGCGGGTTGCGGGTTTGAACCGCACCCGCCCAACCCGCCCGCATTGAATTTAATTTAATTTTTTTTTTTCTTCCAAACCAAATCTAACCGTCCATATTTCTTTGACTCACCAACTCACTCATATAACAAAACAAAAGGAAAAAAAAAACCCTAATATCTAATAATCGGCTTCTCCTCCTCCTCACTCACTCACTCTCTCTCTGAGTCTCATCTCACTCTCTTCCTCACTCTCTTCTCCTCGGTTCTGCAGTGTGCACACACACACCGATCGGCGATCGATCACTCTCCTTCTCAGCCGATCTACTTCATTCATTCACAGGTGAACTCTATTTCTCTCAATCTCTGTCTCTCTCTCTCCCGATCGTTGATTTGTTGTCCGATCGTTGATTTGTTGTGGATGAACAATAGAAAACTGATTTTTTTCATCTCTGACTCCGATCTACTTCACAGGTGATCTCGCAGGTGATCTCTGATTTTTTTTATCATCACACAGCCGATCTGCTTCAAAGGTGAGCTCTCTCTCTCAATCTCTCTCTCTCTCTCTCTCTCTCTCTCTCTCTCTCTCGATCGTGGATGAACAACAGAAAAAGAACTGATTTTTTCATCTATGATTTTTTTTCATCTTCGATCTACTCTTCGCAGGTGATCTCTGATTTTTTTCATCATCGCACAACCGATTTTGAACATTGCACAGCCGATCTACTTCACATCACAGGTGATATCTCATCTCTGATTTTTGGTGGACGAACAGATTTGATTTTTTGTGGACCAAAACAAATCTGTTTGTTTTTGGAATCTGTTTTTGATTAATTTTTGATTAATTTGTTTAATTTTTGATTAAATCTGTTTGTTTTTGGAATCTATTTTTGATTAATTTTTGGAATCTATTAAATCTATTTGTTTGAATCTGTTTAATTTTTGATTAATTTTTGTTTTTGTTTTTGTTTTTGTGTTTAATTTCTGTTTGAATCTGATTATTTAATTATTTAATTCTGTTTGAGTCAGCCATATAATTTCTGTTTGAGTCAGCCATATAATTTTTATTTAATTTTTGGAATTCAGATTATTTAATTCAGATTATGTAATCTGTCTGTGTCTTAGTTGAATTTGTTTCTTTTATTTAATCAATCAGTAGAATCTGTTTATTTAATGGAGGATAGGATAGTATTTTTGTAATCCCCTAGTTTGTAAAATTGATTATAGAATAATCTGTTTGTTCTATCTGTTTATTTAATCTGTCTGTAAAATTGATTCTGTGATTGTATTTTTGTAATTCAGTTTAAATGGAGGATAGTGTTCAATCTCCCGCAATCAATCTTGTACCTCCGGAATCCTCTAATTCTCAAATGAATCCTCTCTTAGTCGAACCCGAACCTGAACTTGAACCTAAGCCTCCTAGACCCCCAAAGAGAAAGAGTGAGAGTGGAGGGGGGAGAGCACCATCCACAGTTTGGGATCATTTTGACATGGTTGTAGGGACCGATGGGAAGCGTAGAGCCGTATGTAAATATTGTAAGAAAGAGTATATGGCTGACTCTAGAACTCATGGGACTAGTAATTTGAGGAGTCATACACCCAATTCTAAAGAATATCCAAATAGGGATACAGATGGTCAACAAACACTAAATCTTAAACCGAAGCAAAATGAAGAGGGTGTTGAGGTTGTAGCAACAATTTTTAATTTTGATACTTGTAAAAGGGCTCTTGCGGAGATGGTTGTCATTGATGAGTTACCATTTAGATTTGTGGAGGGTGTTGGGTTTAGAAGATTTTGTAATGTCATGCAACCCAAATTCACACCAATTCCCTCTCGTCAAACCATATCTAGAGAAGTGCTCAATATATTCAAGAATGAAAGGGATAAGTTAAAGAAGGCCATGAAGGGTCGTAGAATTTGTTTTATTACGGACACTTGGACATCTATTCAGAATTTGTGTTACATGTGTTTGACTGCTCATTTCATTTATGATAATTGGAAACTTCAAAAAAGAATCATAAATTTTCAACAAGTTGAGGATCACAAAGGAGAAACATTGGGTCGAAAAATTGAGTCGTGTTTAATTGAGTGGAACATTGATAGCATATTCACCTTACCTATAAAATTACAAACTCTTTTGAGGGAAAATGGGTTTCATATTTCTGACCTCTTAAGAGCTAATTCCTTAATCCCATACTCCTTCTAACATTTGAAATCAAAATACAAGGAGAGAAAGAGTTTTGGTGAGAATTTTGGATTACTATTTACCTACATTTGCTTGATGACTTGGAGTTAGAAGACCTCTATTGATCAGAGGGAGCTTGGGATAGAGTTCGTGACTAGCTTAGGCCTTATATCTACTATTCTAGAGGTAATCCCTGCTTCCACTTCAATTTTAAAGTCTATCTCTATTCCTTTTCTTTTATTTTGGGATATTTGTTAGTTGGAATTGCCGCTAGCTTAGTTTGATCTCTCTCTCTCTCTCTTTCTCTCTCTCTCTCTCTCTCTCCTCACTTTCTGTAGTTAGTAGATGCCTGTATAGTGGCTTTGGCCAAGCCCGAACTACTTTCTCTTTGATTTTATGGGTTAGAAACCTAGGCACAATTTCCTCTATGAAAAGAGGAAGTTTCTCTCTTTTCAAACCTATTTTACATGGATTTGAGTGGTTTACGCACTTTTTCATGAGTAGGAGGATGAAAATATCTCTCATCTCATTAGAGTTTTTCCCTTTTCTACCTTTCTTGCTAGCTTTAGTGATATAAAAGCCCAAACATGGCTTCCTTCACGAGGATAGGCCAGATTTCCTCTCTTGTCACAGTTTATCATGGATGTAGGTAGTTTATATTCATTTTCATGCATAAGAGGAAGAGAACCTCCCTATCCTCGTTGAGCTTTCTTTATTTTTGTCTCACCATTTTCTTACCTTCCATTCCTTATAATTGTTGCGTGCATTGGAATGAGTCTCTTTTCTTCTTATCCTTATTCTTTATTCTTTTACTTTTTGATCACTTAAACCTAACTTGACCATCATCAGGATCCCATGATCAATGTAGAAGCATGCATTCGGGCATGGAACATCATTTTATATTAAATTATGTGTTATATGTTTTGTTGATAGTGTCCAAAGCCCCTTAGGATTCATCGTGTGCGAATTTTGCATTAGATATCGCATCTAAGATCATGCATTTCTTATTTTGTCCTATTTTCATTTTCGCTTGGCTGGAGTACTAAAACCTCAATGATCTCGTTCTCTCAGACCTGGAGTAACGAGTTATGGAGGTTCTAGACTGAGTATCGCCTGTCCTGAGGCTTCTACTTTCTGCTTGTGATGGTGTGGAATGCCTTCCATGGTCTTCTGAGCGGCGAGGGGGCGTCTTGTTTTTGCGCCCCTCTCCTGTCGCCACTCCTTTTCCCTTCATCTGGCGCTTCAAGGCCTCCATGTCCGCCGCCATCTTCCTTATTAATTCGTCTTGCTCCTTCACGCGGTCCTCCAGAACTTGAGGATCAATCCACTGTCTTTGCCTGTCAGGACTTTGTGAATGAGAGTGACGGGGACTATTAATCCGTCTCCCCCTAGTATCCCTCCTGGAGTTATGTCGTTGGGGCTCCAAGTCCGCCATGAGAGGGGTAGAAGGTAGTCTTTCGCGCCTTGCATCCCCATCTGGTGTTTGCCCGTCGATGGCGGACTGTGGTAAATCTTCATTGTGCGCCATTGTTCCTAAAAAGGTAAAGCTTGATCAAGAGGTTTTGTCCTGTCTGTTCTTCCCACAGACGGCACCAATTGTACGGGAAAGAAATAATTCTTCTCGTATAATCCTGTTGATCAAGTCTGCGCTCCTCCTAACGTCGTCGCTTTATTCCCTGAAAACACAAACGTGAGCTAGCCGGCGGGTGTGTGCCGGAAACCCCTCCGATGCCTATGTCAGAAAAATGAACAAAGACAAAAGCTCTGTGTATTAGAGAATCAAAGTTGTGTTACCTCTCCAAATGTGATGTTTGTGAGCTTTTATAGGTTCCGTGTGGCACAATCCAAGTAGGACTCTTACTCCTCCATGTAGAGTCCTCTTAGGATTCATACTCCTGAAGGATAATGCTTATCCTTCAACACCCCCCTCACTGCTTAAACCAAGTGAGATGGTTATACCATGGCCGGGCTACCATACAACCGAAATAACATTGCCATGCTAGACTGACTGGCGTAACCGATCTAACTGTTAGTTCGGCTATTCTTTGCTTTTCCCCTACCTCGGCTTCATATGCCAAAACCGAGCTATCCAGAGAAGAGCCTACGCCGAACTAACCCAAAACCAAATCCTGAAGAGGGCTCACTATACTTCCTCACGTCCACCTCGGCTTTGCATGCCATGATCGAACTAACCAATTTGGCCGTGGTGACCGAGATAACAACAAGGCCTTCTTGGACCGAGCTAATAAAAAAAAATCATTTTACTCCGCCTTTCTTACTACGGCCCAAAGCGGCCCATCACCCAATCTCGGCCCAATTTATTCATACAAATTACTCTCTCACTAATCCAATCACATAGCATTGTAAGTTAAAATACTATTTTGCTTTCAGGTCCATCCAACCTCTACTTGCAACTCAAAATTATATGTTTAAGTCTGATTCGAGTTAAACCCGAAAATTCTATATTTTTTTTTGTATTCACAACAAAATTGATTAATTTGTTAAAATAAGACTCTATTAACAATTTTTTGAATATTTGCAGTTGCTTTTACAATTTCATAGTAAAAAAAAAATTATAAGATTTTGTATTGTGTTATATGTATATATAATATATATAGTGAATATGATCTAAATATCTAAATTACTTTTACATAATTAGCTACTAATAATTTATGTGTATTTAATATTTTTATATATTTGTATATCCAATTCGGGTTTTGGGTTGTTTAAAGTCTCTACCCAAGTCCGTTCAAAGTTAATTCGGACTTCTAAATTTTTGTTCAAATCCACGTCAAATTCAAAAATATGTTGCCTCAACTCTAAGATTTTGCAAGTTGTGCTCGAATTACTCAAGTTGAGCCCGCTTAAATTGCAGCCCTACAATAAACAAGTTATTTAAGCTCCATTTCCTTACTGATTTAAACCAGGACATTGTGACATGTCGAATTGTGTTTGTGTTGTGTCATTTCAGATTCGTGTCAGAATTATCTCAACACTAACTCAACCCGTTTATTTTTTTATGTTATATATCATATCATTTTCGCCCCGTGTTCAATTCGTTTCATGTTAACTTGTCATGTTAAAAAATCAACTTTATTTAAAAATATCAAATGTATGCAAAATTTAAAATTTCACTTTAGAAGTTAAATTTAATTAAATGAATCTCTACTGAATGAATTATTCATAAGTGAAATAATATATTTTATAGTTATCTACTAAAATGAAATAATAAAATTAGGAAAATAAAAATAAAACTTATATTAACCTTAAAATTATGGGAGACTTACGTGTAAGTCTTAATAGATGGACTTATTGTCTAATAAGTCCTATGATAATTAATGCCCCTTTTCATCAAATACTATTAAAACAGGTTACTAATTCTTAATTTTCAGCGACAGTTTAAAAAAATTGTCACAAAAAATGTTACTAATTTTAAATTTTAGCGACATTTTAAAAAAATTGTCACAAAAAGAGGTCACTAATTTTTAACTTTCAGCGACAGTTTGAAAATTTTGTCACATAAAAACGTCACTAATTATAAATTTTAGCGACAATTTATAAAAATCGTGACAAAAAAAAGCACTAATTG